TTTTTTTTTTTTTTTTTTTTTTTTTTTTTTTTTTTTTTTTTATATATATATATTCGGTTAATCTTTCTTCTTACAATTTTACCCAAATTTAAAATTTTTTAAATTTACTTTACTTCAAATTTTAAAATTCGACATAGTTTTTAAAAAATATAGATAAAAAATAGATAAATAAACAAAAACAATTATTTAAGAGGAAAATTTGTAAGTTTAATTTTTCAAAAAGTCTAAAATTTATTTTTTTAAAATTAATTATATATGTTGAATGAGAGTCCTATTGGTACGAGTCTTTTGAAAAAGTCAAAGCTTGAAAAAGTCAAAGCATTATGTTCACCCATAGCATATAACCCATGTGATTTTTTACTTTAAATTTTAATTTGAATAGCATAAAATTTGAAATTAGGCATGAATAATAATAATATGATTACATTATTATAAGACTTGACAATATAATTGTGAATTGCAATTTTTTTCATTAAATATTCATCACATTCAAATTGATGAGAATAACAATTAGCTAGAATAGTTAATAGTGTTTGTAAAGCTAGTTTAATTTACAATTAATATATATTGAGTAAATTTTTATTTATCATTATGATCAAATTTTTAAAAACTTAGTTATTGATGCATATCTTTGATTAATATTATATTCTTTGGGCTTTCCTTTTCGGGTTTCCTTCAAGGCTTTAAAACATGTCTACTAGGAGAAGGTTTCAACACCTTTATAGTGGGTGTTTCGTTCTCCCCAACCAATGTGGGACATCACAATTCACCCCTTCAGGGCTTAGCGTCCTCGCCGGCACTCGTTACTTTCTTTAATTGATGTAGGACGTCCACCAAATCCACTTTTTTAGGGCCCAGCGTCCTTACTGGCACACCACCTGTGTCTACCCCTTCGGAGAATAGCGAGAAGGCTGATACATCGTCCGGTGTCTGATTCTGATACCAATTGTAACAGCCCAAGCCCACCGCTAACAAATATTGTCCTTTTGGGCTCCTCCTTTCGAACTTCCCTCAAAGCTTTAAACACGTCTACTAGGGGAAGTTTTTCACACGCTTGTGTTTCGTTCTCCCCCCAACCAATGTGGGACATCACAAAAAATAACGCAAACGCAAGTGATAATAAACCATCTCAATTATTTAAGTCATTGTTAAACCATTTTCGCTAATTCCTTTAAAAAAAAGATATTCTTATCCTATGATCTCAACCACCAAATCCCAGAACAAGAGAACGTAGTGGGAGAATTTGATCACTGACCTCAGAACTTATTTAGCCACTGCACTCAACAATATGTACATACAACTGTTTCACTCTCTTGGTGTAGTTGCTCAATGTTCAACTGCCTTTGGCACTGCCTGTTGTCATAAACGACTCCCCACACCCACATTGTCCTTTAGAATTTGGATTGATAAAGATGAACTCGGATCTACCAAGAAGACAGCGACAGAGAGAAAGAAATATTAATTGTCATTGACAACTGAATACAGCAGTCCTACAGGGGTTAAAAGGTTGGATTTGATTCGAGAATCAAAACTCGAGATGACCTAACAAATTTGATAACCAAAACAGCTGATTAAAACCTCTTGAAATATGTCCAAACTCTGAAATAATAAAATATCGTTGCCAAGGTGTAATAGCCGAAACTCATTGCTAGAAGATATTGTCCTCTTTGGACTTTCCCTTTCGGCTTTTCCTTCAAAGTTTTTAAAATGTGTTTAGCAGGGAGATGTTTCTACACCCTTATAAAGAATGCTTCGTTCTCCTCTCCAACTAATGTGGGATCTCAAAATTCATCCTCCTTCGAGGCCCAGCATCCTCGCTGGCACACCGCATGGTGCCTGGTTCTAATACCATTTGTAATAGCTCAAGCTCACTACTAGCAAATATTATCCTTTTTGGGCTTTTCCTTTCAGGTTTTCCCTAAGGTTTTTAAAACGCGTCTATTAGGGAAAGGTTTCCACACCTTTATAAAGAATGTTTCGTTCTCCTCTCCAACCGACGTGAGATCTCACATGAGGTGCCATGATAAATGTGGAACAATAGGTTTACATACAAATGCACATGCTTACTAATCGACATTTAAATATAAACACGCAAGCTTTTATATGTCGGTTTGATATTGTAAGTTGTAACTAACAAGCAGGATATTCCCTCAACAAATGGATTGAAATAGAGCTGAAAATATAAAATTGTGGTAGAGTTCTCAAATACCTCAGTTTGTCATCTACAAAGTCCATCTTTGTTCCTATTACATGCATCAGCGCCTTTGGATCAACCAATATCTTCACGTCCTTATCCTCAACCAGCTCATCAAATTTCCCCTTCTCATCTGAAGTATTTGGAAAGAGAAAACTTTAAAATGAAGTACTGCAATCTTGAACTGTTTAAAGAAATAGAGGTCATAACAGTCCATTTATGCCTAAAGGAGAGATAAAGGCTGCATTCTATTTCTTATTCAATGAAAATGAACTGAAATTAATGATAATGTGATTATAAAAATTAGGTAATGCTGAGTAAGAAAATTCTCGAATCATGAGCGAATCCATAAGAAACTGAATTGCAAATCCGGTTCACTGAGAGGACAGAAATATTAGATAAACACAAACAATAAAAATGCTCCAGCTACAGGTGTGAGATCCCACACCGGTTGGAGAGGAGAACGAAGCATTCCTCATAAAGGTGTGGAAACTTCTCCCTAGCATACGCGTTTTAAAACCTTGAGACTGATGACGATACGTAATGGGTCAAAATGGATAATATCTACTAGCGGTGGGCTTTGGTTGTTACAACAGATGTGTTGAATCAAGAACTTCTGGCCATCTATCATGTTAATAACTATTCTTTCCATGATGACCCATGGAGCCTTGCTAACCCATTTATCTTCTAATTGAATAGAAATAGCACTTTGGTCCAATAAGATTCTAACTAACCATATCAGGATAGAGAGACAGAGAGACAAACACTCACAGGCACAAAGAGTACTCCTGCTATGTTTTCACATACCCAACCTACACGAAGGAAATTGTACTTGATGGAAGCAAATGTTCACCATAAATTAGTCTGGGATTGTGATATATTTAATAATCCACAAATCCCTATTTCATAAGTTTGTGAAGTAAATTATTGAATCTAAACTTCCAATCACATAACTGATTTAATGTGAGCACGCCGGTTGGAGAGGGGAATGAAAGATTTTTTATAAAGGTGTGAAAACCTCTTCCAAGTAGATGCGTTTTAAAACCTTGAAAGGAAGCCTAGAAGAGAAACCTCAAAGAGTACAATATCTGCTAGCAAGGGGCTTAGGTTGTTACAAATAGTATCAGAGCCAGGCACCGGGCGGTGTGTCAACGAGAACGTTGAGCCCCGAAGTGGGTGGATTGTGAGATTCCACGTCGATTGGAGAGAGGAACGAAGCATTCTTTATAAAGGTGTGAAAATCTCTCCCTAGTAAACGCATTTTAAAACCTTGAGGGGAAGTCCAAAAGAGAAAACCCAAAGAGGACAATATCCGCTAGCGGTGAGCTTGGACTGTTACATTTTAAAGTCTAAACTATTAGTTATCTCATACATGGTTCTTGATAGGAACAACAAATCTCCATAATGGTATGATATTGTCCACTTTGAGCATAAGCTCTCGTGACTTTACTTTTGGTTTTACCAAAAGGCCTCATACTAATGGATAATCTTTCATTTCATTAGCCAATGTGAGACTCCAACAATCCTATCAAATAAAATCATCTCTAATCGGAAGACTTCAGCATTCAGGCATGTCAGCTTTATCTTTCATATTTGTCGTCTGTTGAGATTAGCAAGAATTCAACAGCTCATCTTCGAACAAGTTACATATCAAACCTAGGTCCAATTCCAGTAAATCACAATTACAGGTTCATTTAAACTTCCAACTTTTCGACATCTAATCATCAGGATAAATCCTCGGCCTAACATCGTAATTCATGGTAACTAGAGCTGGAAACAGTTTAAATATCAAGAATTCACCTTCTAGAGGACTCCGGTTTCTCCATGTCACCTCTAAACAATTAGGTTATATCGCTCAAATACAACAAATACCTATTTATCTCGTATTAAATCCAAGCATCAACATCCGATTCACGGAAAAGAAGATACATAACCGCCAAATTCCATCACATCCTTAAATTCAGACGTGTATAATGATTAAAAGAAACTGCATATAATCGAGAAAAGTTAGAAATTCGTTAGGTATTACAAACCTGCATAGTTGAGAGTATAGGATAAGCCATTGCAGCCGCGAGCCTTGACGCCAAGGCGAAGGAATGAACGCTGGCGCTGTTGAAGAAGTTCTCGAATTCTAGCGGCAGCGGCCTCCGTCAGAGTAAGAATTTGGCGGCGAGCAGCTGGTCCGACCTTTTGAGAAGCTGCGGCGAAGAAGGAAGACGAAGAAGCTGCCATTTTCTCTCGATCGTCGTGCCGCCTATCGATTTTCTCCTCCACAGATACACTCACGAAGGTTCATTTACTCCAAACTTCCACCGTTTTTCTGTTTGATTTCCTTTATATGGCAATTTTACTTTTACAATTTTTTCCCTTTAGTTAATTTCGATTTTTTTTTTAAAAAAAGAAAAATTGGAACTATTATATTGAATTTAATTAACGGTATTAAATAATTATTATAACATTCAACCATTTTTGTTTACACAATTATTTTTTATCTTTTTCTTAGTTTATAATTAATAAATTATCTACTAAACTAAATTTGAATTTGCTTAATGGACAAAAGTAGGTTCATAAACTTATTTATATTAGTTTGTGGTTCTCTCATAATATTACTAGCTTGTGGTAAATTTTGAATCAAATAGATTATAATAATGGACCCAATCAAAAATTATTTTATTAAAAAAAGAATTAACTCTTCTCTATTTCTTGAGACGTGGAAACCTCTCCTCTCTAGCAAACACGTTTTAAAAACTTCGAGGAAAAACTCGAAAGGGAAAGCTAGCGGTGGGCTTGGTCTATTACAAATAGTATTAGAACAAAATACTAGAGTCTGCAAGGACATTGGTCCCAAAGGGGATGGACACCTTAGTGGTGAGCCAATGAGAACACAAGGTCTGGAATAAGAGTGGATCTCAAATACCAAAGGCTTGGTCTCGAAGGGAGTGGACACAAAGCAGTTAGCCAAGAGTGAATTGGGAGATCCCACATCAATGAGAGAGAAGGACGAGTACCAATAAATATGCTAGGCCCCAAAGGAACAAGTACCAATAAAGACGCTAAATGCATTTTAAAAACTTTTATAGAAAGGTTGGGAGGAAATTCAAAAGAGAGCCCAAAGAGGAAAATATAACATTTTAAAAACCTCGAGGGAAAATCCAAAGATGACACTATCGGTTAACAATTAGTGTTAGCATTGGGCGGTTATAGTAAACACCAATCAAACTTCAGACTTCGAATACTTCGAAGTCCACAGCTAGGTTTGATCAAAAACCTACATCAACCAACCCCGATATGCACCTTTAGTATAACTATCGAGTATCGATAAACTTTCAAATGTTTGGGAACTTGATAAATTTAGAAATAGTAATTAACAAGGAAGATAACACCAGACAATTCCTCTCCAAATGGCAAAATTCAAAAAAAGAAAATTGCAAAATTTTATCATCCATGTGAAGACATTAGAAGCAACAAGCAGAAACTGGAGTAACAAGGCTAATTCATGACAACTAAAGATATGAAAGGAAATTAGGTATTGGTGGCCCTTGTGTAGATCTCCTGGCTGGAATGTGAAGACACCATTCTGATGAGACCTCTGGCCATCAGATCCTTGATTGCTCTTCGTGCTAGCGATCCATTGATCTGAAAATTGAAATGGCAGAGAACCATTTATCAAATAACAAATTGTGTTGATTCAGGGCAAGTGTTTGAATCTGTTATGATATTCATGATGCGCTCAATGGACGTTTTGAATCTTAAAAAAAACGCATACTTGTTAGAACTCGATGATGTTAAATAGTGGTTGGCTGCAACCAACATGTTCCAAAATAACATAACATACCCTAGGAACTAATGCTAATTTTCTTCCTCAGACAAAAAAAGAATTGGGCCCTTATGCATTTATTTATAGATCATTAGATATTTGGTACACTTTCGAATTAGGGATTGCAATCTATTACTTATTTATCATCTTATTCGGAAAAACCCAATTGATTTTCTGAGACAAAAAGAAAACCAGACACAACGAGCAAATTTAGAGAAAAACAAGAATCTACGAAGTACAGAGAAGAGGGGAGGGGGAAGGGGGAAGGGGAAGTGTTTCAATAAACTATACGGAAACTCTCTTACTCATGAATGAAAAAACGCAGTTGGGTAGAATCAATGGATCAAATTAATTATTCAAACTATTTTTGAATGAAAATGTATGAACATTCAGTTTGTTCATATCAGGAAGCATCACAAATTGACTAGAATAACATAATTGTGATAGAATATGCAATCAAGAACATGAAACATGTTCTACATAATGGATGAGACGAGGTTGAAAAACTTACCCTCAACCTGTCGGACAAGATTGAAGGAGTGACAAGCTTGTACTTGGGAACTTCAACGAGAAGCTTGTCATAGGTTCCTTGATCAAACAAAACCATGTTGTTGACCTTCTCCTTTTGCTTTCCCTTGCTCCACTTCTGTTATATTAACAATGACAAACAGCATTATAGATGAGAAAACTGCATAATCTTAGCATTTAGAATCAACAATTCACAGTTGACAGGAAAGCAATAAACAACACGAGATACTCTCTCCTGCAATCACAGTACTAAATTATATGTCCTCTTATTTCGATGTTTCCTCATTTTCCTCATACAGTTTGAAACGAAACAACATTTTCGAATTTAGTACAAGTATTAGAAACATTTTTCCCACAACACATCGTAGAATCACACAAGAACTTGAACAATAATCCACGGCAGACAGAACGGCTAAAGGAATATCCAGGATCAACTACAATAATATAGCCATGGATTTAAGTAAAGTCGAAAATACTGTAACAAGAATCTGACCTTCTTCTTCTGCTTCCCTCCACCAGATTTAGCAGGCTTCGAGGACGGTGGAGGAGCTTTATCCTTCTTTGGCGCCTAAACACATACGATCCACCGAAGTAAGAGAACAAATTGCAAGTACGACTACCAAAATAGAAAAATAACCAACAACATTCCTTGTCGGACTTCCGATGAAAGAATGATAATCAAAGAACAATAGAAGTTCATTCAAACACATTATCAATACAGATAGCTTCAAACTTCCCGCCGATTTCTAATCCTTCGTCGCTTAAAGAGAGAATTCAGAAACAAGTAAAAGAAAGTAAAGCCGATTACGAACCATCGTATCAAAGTTCCGCCGCCGTAGGGTTCCGAGCTGGATCTGTTGAAGAAGATGCAGAAAAAAAGAGAGGGAGCAAACACAACAAACTTAGAATAGCGCGCTGATAGGTAAAGAAATAAAACCCTTCGCAGCCTTCGTGGAGCTAGGGTTTGGGAACTTCACGTAAATGGGCCTGATAAGATATCGGCCCAATTGTGTATTTCAAAGCCCATTATATTGGGCCTCCATAATGGCCCGTCACTGAAAGGCCCATAAAAAGCGTACGAGTAAAGCCCGTAACGCTTACGATGCCAAATATGGATTGGATTATAACTCTTTAACAAAATAATTGAATTTATTAAGTCTACAAATGTGATTAAAATAATTGTAATGTGTGATATAAAAAAAATAATATTGCTTAAGTATCTCTTATGACTAAATAATATATATTTTTGTCTCTAATTTTTATTATCGATATGAATTTAACTGTTAAAAATATATTTTTTAATTATTATATCAAAGGTTCGAATTCTATAGTTGGCTTTTTTTTTTTTTTTTTTTTTTTTTAAAA